ACGCATAGTGCGCCAGGGCGATCGTGGCGAGGGAGAGCGAGAGGCGCATGGTGGCTGCAAGATGCTTTGAGAGGCGCCAATTGCAAAGTGAGTACTGGAGGACGCACCAAGGTCCTGGGCGATGGCTAGATATGCGAGATGGCACGTTTGTATTTGGCTTGGGGCTAGGGCAGCGAGTGGTCGCGTCGAAGGACTTTGCCGCGTCCAGGCACGGGTTGTATGTAGCATACAAACATCAAATGAGTGGTATCTTGGAAGGTTGCGTATATGTTGCAGTGATCGGTATCTTTGTGCAGCCGATGCTTTCAAAGCGATGAGAAGCTCAATGTCGTCGGCGCGTGACCTCTGAGCCAAGGGATCCCCGTTGTCACCATGGATTGTGCTTCTACAGTCTGATCGGATACCGTCTCGTAGTACGTACTAGTGCGTACGAAGCTAGAGCTCATCTACTGAGCTCGCTAGGAGTTCAGACCAGACCTCGCGAAAGCGACATGACGTGAGGCTTCTGGCCCGGAGCACACTACGCAGTCACAAAAATGTATCAAGTTGGAGGCACATATATGCATCATGGAGCCAGCGTTTTATGTCAAGACTCGTCCTGGAAGCCACTGAAACAGTTCACCCGAGGTGCTAGTGGAAGGGGAAAACGATGCTGTCAATTTTACGGGGTTTTAGGTACGTATATCCCGTAGCAAGGGTCAATTAATATTTTGACACTTGCCCGTTCTAGGGTCGAAACTAATTGAGGACATCAAGGCTACACCAAGGTGGAATCCCGGCTCGGACCCCTTACCGTGGTGGACCCCGCTCGAAGGAGCTGCGCAGCAGTTATTACGTAAAATCACATGATAACTACCGTATACTCAGTAAATGACGGTAATTTTCGCGTCTCCGCTCGCTGCCCGATCTTTCCGGATACAGACAACATAATCCGGTTGAAACCGTTTTCGCGCGGAGCAGTGTGCAAGAAGTTGGCGACCGAGCACGAGATCCCGGGCAGCGTACGAAGATGGAGCTGGCGAAGGGAGGTTGACACAGCGTATGTGTGCATGCCGATCCTTCCTCAGCTGCAGGACACGACTTGGAAGACGACGGAGACGATGCTGCACTACTGCTCCTCGCGAAAGTACGGTCATGACGTCCATGGGGATACCCGATATGTGCTCATAGAACGCGATCTACGACGAGCTCGAGCGACAAGCGCGAGCAGGAGCGCGCTCAGGTGAAGACCAAGATGACCATGTACGAGTGATCTCCCCGAGATTCATGCACGAACCTGCGTTGTACGCGTAGGTTCATGACACGCTGCGCAAGAAGGTCGACTTGCATGGCGCCAGCTCCATAAAGATCCCCAATCCTCCATATATCGACCAAGCCGAGAAGATTGCCCCCCACATGGTCATGCATCATGTGGCGACTGCTCCAACGCCAACAAAGCTCACGTGAACTCAAAGGTACACTTCAGAGATGATATAGCGCGTCCCCATTATGGTACTCGTATTCCGTAGCTTGCTCGGGAGTAATGAAGCTTGATGAAGCAAGACCGACCATGTACGAAGTGCTCAAAGCGACGCTACATCAGAGCCGACAAGTCTCTTCTCCAAGGTACGCCAACATCACACCACCCGACAAGCAGAACCTTGGAGCACATGCATTCCGCGACCGGATAAGGTATTGTTTATCCGAATTGCTGGCGTATTCGGCTGACTTGCGTTGCACGGGGAAAGATACCATTGGGAGGACATGCCAAGCGCGACCGACGACGACGACTGGGCCCGCGCGGTAGTGGCCACAGACGTGCTCCGGAGCGGCAGCCTCCTTGCCAAGGCATTCCGTATGCGCGTCGCGGACGAGCCCGAGCTCGCCAAGCAAGGCGTCACAGACCGCCTGAGCGCGCTCACAAAAGAGGCCGCGCAGGCGCATGGCACGTTCGTTGGCGACGACCTCGAGCGCATCCGACTGTTCGTGTTTTCGAAGGAAGCAAATGCTGTGAAGAAGACGTTTGACGCGGCAATGCCATCCGCCGTGTTGCGCGAGCAGGCGCTGACCGCTACGACGACGCCGGCGCAAGTGCATCGCGTCAGCGACTTTCAGAAGCGCTACTACATGGAAAAGCACCTCGAGCTCGTCAAGAAATGTCTCGCAGCGTCAACGCCGAGTGCAACTGATGCCCGCGACGCGATGCCGTACGCCATCTCGGCCCATGCACCGACGGACCTTCCGGAGAAGCTCTTCTCGCTCGCGTCTGGACGCCTCCAGATCGAGATGCTCCAGTCGTTTCGTCTTCTCAACCCTGCGTTCTTCCAGAAAGGCATGCATATCTTGGTGCGCACGCTCCTCGATGGACCGCCGCTGGCCCTGCGCACGATTGCGCCTAAGACGGCAGAGGCAGCCATGCTCGACGACCTCTCGGCGATGGCCCGCTCGACGATGGACGGGTCCAGTGACGATGGCACGGAGGCTGCGCTCGCTCTCTTGTGCGCACTTGGCGCGGCGAGCGGCCGCGTTCGATACCTTCTCTCGGTCGCTATGGGGCTCTTGACTTGGACACCGCCGACTTTCCCATCCACAGCATTTGTTGCTGACGTTGACGCCGTCATTGCCCGCCTCGAAGCTTACTCGCTCCACTTTCCGATCGGTCTTGTCTCGACACAGAACGTCATGCGTCATTTCCAGGCGCCGGGCGAACGGGCGACGGCGCTGGCCACCGACGGGACTTTTCTATACATGTGGTGCGATGATCTGGTCAAGGTTGGGGCACTTACCTCGGTGCCGACGCCGTCGTCGAGCGTGCCCAACTCGTCTACATCCAGTCGGCGTTGCTCGTAGCTCTCGACATTGTGCAACCGGACGGCACGGCACGCTCGGTCCACTTGATGATGCAGCCCGATACGATGTGTGCCGAGGTCGTGTCGATCGATCGAGGCACCGCAACGATCTGTACGGACGGTGTCCATCTCTTTGTGGTTGAGTTGCACGAGGCAGCGGTGGCTGTGCACGAGCTTGTTTGTGCGGCGTCCGAGTGGGCCAGAGCGCCGCTTCCGGTGTTAGTGGCCACGGTCTCGATGTCGGCAGATGTACAAGCATTCTGGACATCGCCCGAGCCGTTTATGTGCGCCACGAATGGACACAATGTTGCGGCCTACCGTGTCGACGAAACGCGTCTCTGCTGCGCAACGATAGACTTGGCGACGGCACAAGCGACGGCTACGGTCGCTGTCTCGGCCGACTGCCCCGTCTCTGCGATCACTTTGGATTTGCGCAACAACATTCTCTGGACAGCTACCGGAAAGACGATCATGTGCCATCGCAACGACGGTCCTCGAGCCGAGATGCCGCCGGTGACCGACAAGGACGACGTCGTGACGCTTCTCGCCGCGACAGAGAGCTCTTGCATATCGGTGCTTGTCCGTCTCTTTGGCACGTGCAATCGAGTCGTCGACGCCTACTGGAGCGACGAGAGTGCGCTCTCGACTGCGCTTTTGGACGTGGCGTTTGCTGTGGACGTCTGCCCAAGTACGTTTGGCGACCTGATTTTTCTTGTCGAGAAGCTCACGAGTCACCCCGTCATCGCACCGTGGCAAGCGTTTGTCGTCGAAGTGAGTCTCAAGCTGCTCTCCATCAACACGGCTCAATGGAGCGCTGCGCCCGAGTCGATGCCAGACCACAGTGCGATCCGAGATGTCGTTCAGCGCAGTGGTCTGCGTGATGTCCTCGCCACGTTGTTTCAGGGCGAATCTACATTACCACGGCTCCGTGACGCCTCCCGTCGCCTCTACGTGCTCTCGATCGACATGTTGTATCCTTCGGTAGACGCGCAGTGGGCGTTGCTCGCAACTTGCGTCGCGACGAACGACTCGATCACGCTTCCGCTTGTGCGGCGCATGGCATCGCGGTCCAAAATGCAAGCGCTTGTCGCTGGCGAAATTTCACCGGCGCTTTGGAGCTCGATCGCGCAGCTTGTCAATGCTTCAGTGACCTTGACACTGGCCCAAATGGACGGCGACACGGCATCGGAGCGTGCCGTTCTCGGTGCCGCGCTTGTCTCTCTCGTCTCGACGCTGCTGGACGCGGTCGCAGCGACGTGCGAACGGCATTTATCGGCGACAGCGCACGTCATTGGTGTCGTCCTCGCCGCTTGCGACGCGCTGTGTGTACGTGTTGCCACGGCACCAACCGCTGCCTTCTTGCAGCTTCTCGAATCGAGCTTGCTCGGAGCGGTGGCACCAAAGTTGTTTGCAACTGTCGAGTATCTCGTGGCATCGTTGCCGGCGGCAACACCGGGTCTGAGCCATGTGGTCGCCGACTTTGTACCGGTGGCAATGGCGTTGCTCGAGCGCATGCAGCCGCTGTTTGGCGCTGTCGAACGCCGCGATACGTTTGTCGAGACAAAACACTGCGGGAGCACGGCCGTCGTGTTCGAGTCGGAGCACGAGTACCGCAACGACATGCACGAAATCAAGGAGCTACGTCTCGATGGCGCGCAGAGCATGACCATTACGTTTGACAGCCGGTGCCGCTCCGAGTACAACTACGATTACGTCGTCTTTTACACGGACAAGTCGTGCACGACGTTTTATGGCGAAGACAAGTACTCGGGTCGCGACAGCTCCTTCAACTGGCCCGGCGTCGGCAATTTGCCGCCGCTTGTCATTCCGGCCGACCATTGCTTTGTGCTATTTCACTCGGACGGCTCCAACACGGACTGGGGCTACAAGTTCACGGCCACGGCCAACGTGACGGAGAACAGCCGTTCGTTCGAGATGCACTGGCTTACGAGCCTGGAGCAGTGTGTATTGGATGCGCTTCATAGCATCGTCACGCTCGAGGCAGCGTGGTGTCCCGTGGCGCCGTCCGAGACTGCACTACACCGTGTGCTCGAGTCGGATCTGTTGCATGGCGGCATGTCAGCGCGACCCACCGACAGCAACGACGACGGCGTGGTGCAATTCCTGCACCAGCTCATCGACGCAACCGACGACGATGACGACATGCCCAGTGCTGCTCGCGTGGCCCAGCTCCTCAAAGCCAAGACGCCCCAAGACCAAGGCACCGTGCCGCACATCAACCGTGCTGTCCGAGCGGTCGCCGCGGCCATTCTGCACCACAATATGTGGGGCGTCGATGCCTATGCGCTTGGCCAGGGCCTCCGAAGTGATGCAAGCCCGTCGCTATTACGCGCATGGAAGAATGCGCAAAAGATGCGCAACTGGTTTGATATCGGTGACGCGCAGCGCCCACTGCACTCCGTGCCAACGTCGACGCCGACGTTGCAGCGCCAGCCGTCGGCGTTTGCTGGCGCATCTGAGGCCGCGCTGCGGACGCTGTGTGCCAACGTCGAGGCGCGTGCGCGCTTCCTCCTCGCGCTCGGGCCTGCGTCGTTTAGCCTGGCAGCTGCTAACGACCCAAACGAAGCGACCAAGCGCTGGCAACTTCTTGCCAAGTACGGCGTTGCGCTCCAGAAGAGCGAAGACCCGGCCTCGATCGTCGCAAAGTGGCACACGCTCGTCGACGAAGTGGAGGCCGCAACGCAGCTGCAGCAGTTGATGCTGTATCGCAAAAGCTCGGCGGGTCGCACCGATGGCCGCCACGCCAAGACCATGACGGAGCTTGTTCTCGAGTTTGTGCAGAGCGACGTTGATGTTGTCGCGCTTCGGGCGGTCATTGAGATGCGCAACCAACGCGCGTCGCTTCGACGCCGTAGTCTGAACATTGTGGCGACAACGATGGCGACGACGACAAACTCCCGCTTGTGTCACGTGGTACTATCCCGCTGGGCGTCGTCGCTTCGGGGGCTCGATCAACGGCACGTGCACGTGCTCGACCACTTGGCAGGGTGCGGTGCCGACGCACGCAGTGCCGTCGAGGAGGCCTACGCCTCTCTGCTCGCACCGCTCCAGTGCCTCCTTGCATGTGACGACCCTCTCGTACAACTGAGCGCGCTGCAGTGCCTTGCGCAGGACTTTGCGTTCCGCGATGGCGACATGCTCGTCGCTAGCCGTGTCGTGCCCGCTGTGTTTTCGTTGCTGCAGACGCCGACGTCAGACGTCCGTGCGGCGGCGCAGGCCGTGGTCCGCATTCTTCTCGAGCGTTTTGTACAAGTCGACAAGCGCGGTGGCATCCAAGCTCACATTGCGGCGTGTGTGGCAGACTACACGGTGGCGTTGACGACGGTGCCGGCCTGCCGCTATCTTCCGAGTCATGCCCCGGGGCAAAGTGTGGTGACGCCGACACCGGTGCCCAACGTCGGGTTTTGGATGATGGTCCCCGAGATACCATCCGTTCGACTTCATGAAGGTGACCTGGTCAAGCACGGACCGCAATGGCGCGATGCAGCACCCGACAACGCGGCCATCGGTGTCGTCACGAGTATCTTCAACGATGTGAATGTGGCGGTGCGCTGGCTGCCGCGCGTCGGCGTGAAGGAGGTCCACGGGTGCCACGTCTACGACGTCGGTGCCAAGACCTTTGAGATCGTCCCACTGCGCTTCGACGCCAGCGGCCAGATTTTGTTAAAGGCGCACGTCCTCGGCGACTCGTGGCTGCACCGGCTTCTCGGCTTGTCATTGACGCAGACCTACCACCTGGACGTGGCACTCGCCGACGGCACGGCAGCAGCAGTGCACCTCCAAACACCGGCGCCGTTGGTGCTGGGTGCGTGGCACCATGTCGGCATCGCGGCTACGGACGCGGAATCCAACTATGCATTGTACGTCGACGGAGCACCGGTGCTAGCGTTACCGCTCAGTCTGCATCTGCAACATCAAGTGCGCAACGAAGCACGTCTTGTCGAATCGCTGCATCCGTCGGTCGTCAAGGGCTGGCAGTACTTTACGGTGGACATTGACGGTGCCAGTGCGCTCCAGGTGGCATTTGACGCGCAAACAACCACCGGCGGCGACGACGACGACGCGTGCTACGTGGTTTTTTACCACGATGACTCGCATACAAGTACGTGGGGGGATGCACGGTATACGTCCAAGAACAACCTGCCCGGCGTCGATGGCAACAGGTACGACGACTACTGCTACGTATTTGTGACGGTGAAAGCCATTCTAGTCCACTTGACATTGCGGCTGGCACCTTTGTACTGGGCTACTACACTAGCGAAGCGAGTGCCGACCTTTGGGTACCTCTTCAACGGCATTCCACCGCTTACCGCACGCTTGCTATAGGGTTTTCGACTGTGGGTCTATGACACCGATGTGTTGGTGCGCGCGTCGCCAGTCTCGCGTCTCTATGTGGGCGAGCCACCGGGGCGCGTCGGCGCCGAGAAGGCGGCAGGGTGCTACGTGCACGATTTGGACATTACGTGGCGGCCGACGCCCGAGGCTGTTGGCATAGCGCGTGCGGCGCTGCCAGACCCCGCGACGACGACGCTACACGATGCACCGTGGCACGTTCTTGGATGCGTTTTGGCGTCCGTGCACGGGCCGCCCGATGTTGCGCGCCAGGTGCTGACGCCAGCAACGTTTCAACATCTGGTCGAGTGTGCATTTGCATCGGCACACCCTGTCGAGTTTCGGTGTGCGGCGACGTACGTCGCTGCCCAGAGCCTCGTGCTGCACCCGCGCAGCGGTGTTGCAACGGCACTGCTGCAAGAGTACGTTGATCGTGCAATGCAGTTTCTGATCGAGGACGCCAACCCGTGGGCACCGCCGGGTGGCGTCACGATGGCGCCGGCGCATGCAAGTCTTGTCGGTGCTGCGTATGCAGCGTTTGTGCGGGCTGCATCGACGCACCCGAACGTCGCGTCGTCGATAGAGGCGAAACTCAAAATCAGCTTGCGGCTTGAGCACGGAGTCGGGTGTGCCCTTGCCGCCGCGTGGGTTCTCGGTGGCGACTACGACCATGCCCACGTCGGTACGCGCATCCAGACACTCGACAAGCGGGACAACCCCGAAGGTACGATCGAGGGCGGCTACATCGTCAGCATCGACGTCGTTGGCGACGAGCGCGTCGCCCGGGTGCTCTTTGATTTGGACCCAACCCGCATCGAGTCGCTGCGCCTCGATGCTCTGCGCCTAGACCCGGCGCCACCGGCCTACGTCGACGTCGCTCAGCGGCTCGTTAGCGCTTGCGCGCCCGAAATTCTCGGCGCAATCGAGGCGGCGACGCATTCAGCGTCTCCATGCATGATGGACGTGCGGGCGCGGCTGCTCAAGGTGCTCGGTCGGCTCTGTAAAACTTCGGCCGCCGTGGCTTTGCTCTTGCCGCCGCTGCTTTGTCTTGCCAAAGCCACGCCGTCCGGGTCCTCGATTGCTGTCAAGCCCGCTTGCAAGGTGCTTGAATCGACGCACCCGTACAAAGACTCGATCGACATCTACGAAACTGTGTCATTCCCCGGCGCCACCAGCTGCCGAATCACCTTTGACGCTGCGTCCCGCACCGAGAAGGACTGCGACTATATGACGTTTTACAAGGACAATGACAAGCGGGACGAGTTCTGGGGCCTCGAACGCTACTCGGGTCGCGACGACACGGTGTGTTTTCCCGGTGTTGGGGACGAAGCGCCGCTCGTCATCCCCGCGAGCCATTTTACGTACTACTGGCACACGGACAGCTCGAACAACGACTGGGGCTGGCGCTTCACAGTGCAGGCCATCTTTGAGCCCGTGGCCCCTTCGTCGCTGACAATTCCACAGCTCAACCAGCGGCTTTGCCACCTCTCTGAGATGCTGCTGGAGCTCCCACCGCATGTTGACACCCACGACGACGCCGTGACATTGACTGCCGTCCCATCCACGGTAGCCCCGAGCGTACACGGCGACGTGGAGATCTCTGCCGTCTACTTCGGCGAGAGCTGCTCCAACGACTGGGTCGTCGTCGCTAGCAAAGACGTCGATGTACTGACGGCCCCGAATGCGACGTCGATCACCGGAATCCTTCACCATGGTACGACCGTGCACGCGCTCGATGTCTCGGGCGAGTGGGTGCGCATTGCAGCGCGTGACGATACCAACCTCGCCGGCTGGATGCTACGACATGTCGATGGCGAACGAACGTTGGCTCAACCGACAATGTACGCCCCACTCGAGCATGGTCTCGTGTTCATCGGAGCCCCTGAAAGTAACGAGGCGCCGGTGTCACCCGAGCTCGACGCTGGAGACGCTGTCCGTGCCGTTGAGTCTCACTTTGACGTGTCGACGATCTACGCCGTTGAGACCCGGCGACCGCACGATCTCATGCGCGACCTCCTAGAGAGCTTGGGTGTGCAGTACGCTCGGGCTTGTCTGCATGCGTACGTGGCGTCGGAACGAACAGATGCGCTCCCTGTCGATATCCTTCTCGGTCTTGCCGACCTCGTCGTCAACAGCGAGTCGCCAACGTCGGCGCTCAGTACGCTCGTGCAACGCCTCATCGCTGCCGACGGTGCCTTTGGTGAGGCCGTCGCGGCGGCGTGCACCCGTGCGATCGCGCGGGACCTCGCGGCGCTGCCCAAACAGCCGCGCGTACGTCGCGTCGAGAGCCTTCTGCCCAACTACCATGAGCGCATCTGCTTTCCCGGCACGTCGACGATCCGAATCGAGTTTGACGCAGCGACGCACTGCCCCGACGACGGCGGCGTTGTCTTTATCGGTCGTGACGGCGCGATCCCCGATGGACCGTATCATGGGTCGGCGGACGGCGACAACTGGCCCGGCGTCGGCAGCAAGCCGCCGTTGCTGTTTGCGTCCGACACGATCCACGCGTTCTTTCGTTCGGACGACGAGAGCTCCGAGGCGTTGGTTGCGTTCACAGCGTACGACAATGCCGCCGGCGCCACGGTGACCGAGGACGTCGATGCCCTTCTTTCGTCGCTGCGGCTACACATGTGGGTCCTCTTGCAAGTCGGCTGCGCGCATTTACCTAACATGACGCCGCTGCTGGACGCCACTTGTCAATTGTACCAAGCGGCGCCTGTGCGCCTGCAGTTGCAAGTGCTCGAGCTGTGGTCCACTTGGCTTCAAAACGACGCAACCCGAGTGTTTGAGCAGCTACCGCCGATGCACGTCCACCGATTCCTCGCCTTTCTCAAGACAAAGCTTTGGGCGCAGCACAAACTGGAGGAAGCGCACACGACCAAGTCGCCCTTGCTGCGTCGGCTCTTCCAGTGCGTCGTCGACGCCGACGAGCACCTCGAGTTGTACCTCTTGTCCCTGGCAGCGGGTCCATCAGCGACGTGGGCAGGTGCAACGACCGACGTTGTTTTGACTGACGACGGGGCCTGCGTCCAAAAGGTAGCGGCCAGCAGCGCGCCAACGATCGTGCGCTCCGCATCGGGGGCTGCCGCCGGGCTCAACGTTTGGGACATCCTCGTCGTCTCGGCGCAAGAGCACGTCGTTGTCGGCCTCGTCACGGACGGCGAGACGACGCTGCTGCACGTATGGCCGACCGACGCAGTGGCCTTGCGCACGAACGACATTGCGACCGTCGAACTCGATTTGAAACGACGGGAAGTGCGGTATTTGCGCAACGGTGCCCTTGTATGCGCTCGCCACGTAGAAGCGGGGCGGATGTACTACCCAGCCGTCCAACTGGTGGATGCAGAGGACACGGTCGCCCTTCAAACGTCGCAGCCGCTGCAGTGGCTACGTTTCGTGCAAGCGATCAACCCGCCATGGTATCAACGCGCTGTCGCGTCGCTTGGGCTGCTCGAATGCTTCCACCGACGCACTGATGCCTCAAGTCGCTTTAGTACCGAGATACCAGATTCCGTGGTCTTGGCCACCGTGGTGCGTGGTGCTGACTGGGCCTACGACAACGAAGATGGCGGTGTTGGCAACGTTGGTATCGTGATCACAAAGGAGCCGTGGTGCGGTCAGCCCGATGCAGCCGTACGCGTGCAGTGGCTTCACGACAAGTCGACGGCACTCTACCGGTTCGGGTACCGTGGTCTCTACGACGTGCTGCCTGCAGCGGTGTTTTCGCCATCGACGCAGTCGCGCACTGAAAATCCTCATGGCTTTGTCGCCCTCGACGGACCGGTGCACGTGACGATTCCAAACTTGCCATCGATTCACGGCGACTGGACGATCCAGCTCTGGTTCCGTCGTGAAGGCTTGTTTGCTGAGACTCAAGTCCTTCTTCACGTGGCAACAGACGCCAACTGGTGGCTGCGGCTGGCGCTCGACTCGAAGCGCCGCCTGCAGCTGGTCGTGCACGCCGGTCAACCGCAGCAAATTACGTGTCCCCGGGTGCTGGCTCTCGACGCCTGGACGCGAGTAGATGTCTGCGCCTTTGGCTCGGGAATTGCGTTCCACGTGAACGGAGACCTTGTACACCACGACCGTCTGGGCGCCAAGGTGCAGTGCGCGCCTGCGACTTCGACGACGCTGCACCTCGGCGCCAGCGACGAAGATGGCAGCAAGCCATGGCGCGGTCAACTTTCGCATGTCCGGTTCTGGGATGCTCCGATGCACATGCAGCAATACTATGCCGATGTGCTCAAGCGGCAGTACAACTCGGTCGACGTCGGGGAACCGGCGACGTTCGAAAAACTGTCTTTGGTGGCAGCTACGGTAGGACATTATGTATTCCTCGACCATGCTCATGCCGACTCTGTAGGCGCCGAAGGAGTTTTCTGACGGCACAAGAGCGCTACTCACGTCGTACCAAGCCTTTACGTACGTCAATCGCCACGGTGACTTTGCGAGCCTGCGCCCGCAAGGTATCGGTGTCTTGGCACCGAGCTGTGCACACGGCAAGGTCTACTACGAGCTCACGCTGCTGCGTTCCACGTGCCTTCAGCTCGGCTGGTCGTTTGGGGACTGCGCGATTGCGTCGCGCGACATGGGCATTGGCGACTGCGGTCGGTCGTTTGGGGTCGACCTGTGCCGCCAAGCCATGTGGCACGACGAAAAGACGACGATCTCGGAAGCCATTTGGCAGCCCGGTGACGTTTTTGGCTGTCTTCTCGACTGGCACGCCGGCGTCATGTCGTTTTCTCTTAATGGCCGCGTCCTCACCAACGTTCGCTTTCAGTGCACCAGTGCGACGCTGACGCCCATGTCCCCAAAGGATGGTACCGCCAGCAGCCAGTGGAGTCGAGACGGCGATGCCGACGATGACGACAATGGTGACGATGGTGACGACGAAGTCTCTTGCGCGGATGACGAAGAGAGTGACGACAGCGACAGCCACAGTAGCCCCTCGAAGGCGTCTGATGCCGAGCACGCGACGACTTCTGCGGACACTCCACCGCTGGTGTCCAGCGCGATGCCCGAAACGGCGACCGCCGAAGCGACGCCCGACAACAGTGCGACGGACGACGAGCGCCCCGGAAGCGCGTGGCTGCGGCATGGTGGGATCTTTCCGTCGGGGTCGTTCTTGACAGGCGACGGTGCAATCTGGAACCTCGGCCAACGGCCTTTCCACCACCTCCCCGATGGCTACGTCTCGGTGCTCGAAGCCGCGGGTGTCCCGTGCAACGCCGCGGTGCAATTTGAGATCTTTGATTTCGAAGAAAATGGCTGGCAGCCGGTCGCGTACCGTCATGGCGTGCACGACGTGGCGCCGCGACTGCTCGGCGCGTGGATTGAAGTCGCCGGCACCGAGTGTACTGTGCCCGACACGTCGCGCTTCGAGCGGCACGGTGCTACACTTTCTACGCCGCCGTGGTCGACCAGCAGCCCACAGGTGTCGCTCTCACGCCCCCCACTTTCTTGTTCTGCGCGGTTCCAGTCGTCCAGCGTGGCCATGTCGGCGGTTCACGCCAAAGAGAACGAAGAGCTCGTGCGCTACATCAACAACGTCTGCAGCGCGCGCTCATTGACGTCCGAGGCGCTCTTTGCGCTGTCGTGGGCCGACGTGGCGCCAGAAGAAACGGCGCTTGTCCGATGGCCGCTGCTCGCCAAACTGCACGATGTGCCGTCGACCGAGCCAACTTCGCTCTCGGCGCGCTTTGCCTTGCTAGTGGCATTGAACAAGGTCATGCTCGGGCTCCTACAGTACGTCGATCTCGTGGTCGACGATGGCCCGCGGACGTTGGTGTCGCGCCTCACGGCTGCCCGCGGTCTTCTCTTCCACGTACTCAAGCGCGAGCTCTGGGACGTGCAGGTGACGGCGACCGGTGTCTCGTCGACGGAGCGCCTGCTGACGCTCAACCGCCCCAAGGCGACGCGTGGGCGACTTGCATCGCACGGGACAAACCCGTTTGCTCTTTTTGCGCAAGCTTACCGCGTCTTGAGTTTATGGGACGCGACGTGCTATCGGTCAACGGGCAACTTGTACAAGGTGACGTTCCTCGGCGAGAACGCCGTCGACGGTGGCGGTCCGTACCGCGAGACGTTTACTGAGTTTTGCGCCGAGTTGCAGAGCCCCCAGTTGCCGCTTCTTCTCCCGACATCGAACGGCCAACACAATGTCGGGCATTGCCGTGACGCCTACGTCTTGCACCCGCAGGCGCATGTCCAGCACACTTCGATGCTCGTTTTTCTCGGCAAGCTTCTCGGTGTGGCCATTCGCACCAAGGATTGCCTCAGCTTGACGCTGTCCCAAGTCATTTGGAAGCTTCTTGTCCGCGACGTTGTGACGGTCGAGGACCTCGAAGCCGTCGACGCGCTCATTGTCAACTCGATGCGGGCGCTGCGGACAATCGACACGACCGGTGTCACGGCAGCGCAGTTTGCCGACGTCATTGATGAGACGTTTACAACGCTGTCGACCGACAACCGTACGGTGGCCCTCCGCCCGCACGGCGACACGATCGCAGTGACGTTTGAGAACCGATGCGAGTTTGCCGATGCCGTTGAACAGTTTCGGTTGCACGAGTTTGATGCAGCGGTGGCGTGCGTCCGGCGCGGCCTCGGCATGGTCGTGCCGTTGCGGTACCTCCGGCTTTTCACGTGGCGCGAGCTCGAAAGTCTTGTGTGTGGGTCGCCGGACGTTGACATTGACTTGCTTCAGCAGTGTACCGAGTACAGCTCGTGCAGTGCGTCGGATATGCATGTCACTTGGTTTTGGGACGTTCTCCGGGCGTACAGCCACGACGCCCGGCGCGCGTTTCTGCGGTTTGTCTGGGGCCGGTCGCGGCTACCGCGGACGTTGCCCGAGTTTCAAGCCGGTCAGCAGTTTAAGCTCACGGCGTTTGATCGGCGGCCCGCCGACAGCTACATGCCCGTGTCGCACACGTGCTTCTTCTCGCTCGAGCTGCCACGCTACTCGAGCCACGCCATCTTGGAGGCCCGCTTGACGTACGCGATTTACAACTGCCAAGCCATTGACGGGGACGGGGACACGATGGCGGCCAACCAACTCGGCTGGGAAGATTAACCGATTCATGCATATCTACGTTACCTCACTGTGGCCACATTTTGTCATTGGGCCAGAATACTGTGTGTTGAATCTATCACAGTATATTCTAGACGCGCTGCTTGCGGCCATGACGTTACCTGGAGATGAAGACCACCCGGTTTCATGACGTGGCAGCCTCTCGATGCAGCGTATCTTGGATCCCCGATCGTGTTGAACAGAGAGCTTCAGCTACTAGCAAAGATTCGAGCGAATATGACTGTACATTGACGATGATATTCGCTACTCGTAGTAGTACTCACGAAAAGAAGAAAGGACAACATGGCGCACGGACAGCGGTGCGCGAGAGACAGGATATCCGCCGCTTACAAGGCCTGGCCAGAGATGGAGTTGTAGCCGCGGCGCTGACGCGTCGTGAAGAAGCCGACGAGGAACATGACGCCGACGCCGCCCGAGGCCGCGGCCGCGAGCGCATACGACTTGTTGCTGGCGAGCATGGTCATGAACGAGATGCTGGACGTGGTCGAGTAGTCGGGGTAGTTGCCGTCGATGTTGTTGGCGTTGGCATACTCCTGGCACGTCACGCCGCCGTTGAGCGACGGCTGCGTGATCTCACCCGAGACGGGGTCGATAACGCAGTCGACGGCGCACGTCTTTTGCTCTTCGACCAAGCACTCGTCGTTGCGGCCGCCGTTTTGCGCCGGGTACTGGATGTTGATGGTGCGGCGCGAGAAGCCCTGCGCGCCGCAGTCCGACCACGCACCCCAGGTGTCACCGGGCATGCAGTCGACGACGCACGTGTCGTGTTTGGAGAGGTCATCACACTTGCGGCCGCCGTTGAGCGGCAGCGTAAGGATCGAGCGGGTCGAGACGACCTTGCCCGCGAGTTCGCCCTGCACGTTGCACTCGCCGGCGCTCCAGTCCGAGAGGACGCAGTCGACGGCGCACGTGTCTTGCACGACGAGGTTGCACGTGAGGCCGTTCTGGGGCGGGTACAAGTACGTCGCCGTGCCGGTGCGGAGACCCGTCGTCGCGTCACACTCCGAGTACGTATAGTCCGAGACGATGTCGGCGCACGCGCCGCAGCCCTGGTAGTCGACGAGCGTGCCGCACTCGGCGCCGCTGTTGTGCGATTGCTGCAAAACCGAGCGCGTGCGTGTCTGCTGCTGCGTCTTCAAGTCGCACGCGCTCCACTCGGACCAGTCGCTGACGACGCAGTCGACGTCGCAGTCGGTGTAGCGCTCGAGGTCGTCGGGGCAGCTCGCGCCGCCGTTGCACTGCTGGGTCGTGATGGTGCGGGTCGAGCGCTGCGTGCCGGCGCGGGTACCGCTGAGAATGCACGCATCGGGGACGCTCCAGTCGCTGACTGCGCAGTTCTGCGTGCACGTGGGGTCGGTGTCCGTGAGCTGGCAAGTGCCGCCGTTGATGGCCGGCGCGATTTCCGTTCGTGTGCGGCTGCACGTGCACGAGTCGTCCGGCGCGCTCCACGGGGTCCACTCGCTCGCCATGCACGTGACGGCGCACGCCTGGTTCTCCTGCGTCGGCGGGCACTGGTTGCCGCCGTTTTGCATCGGGATCTGAACCTTGCGGTTGTGGACCTGGAGTCCCGTGCATTCGTCGCACTCGCTCCACTCGCCCCAGTTGTCCATGACGCAGTCCACGGCACAGTCGCGCTCTTCGCTCGTCGAGCACGGCGCCTGGTCGGCCGACGGCGGGTTCACGATCGCACGCGACCGCGTCTGCTTGGCCGTTGTCTGGTCGCACCTCGCCCACTCGGCCCACGGATTGTGGGCATGGTCGCAGATCTCTTGGCAGCTGCGCGTCTCGGACGTCGGGCCCGCGCCCTGGCCGCCGTTGCACGCCGCGCTCACAATGTCGCGGGTGCGCGTTTGGTGGGCCGTATCGTCGCACACACTCCAGTCGCTCCACGGACCCGTGACGGCGTCGAGCGTGCACGGCTCCGTCCGGTAGAGGTTGCAGGCCTTGCTCGCGTCGCGGATCGGGTACAGCATGGTCGTCTCGCTGATCAGCGTGCACGATTCGGGTGAGCACGTGCCCTGCGTCCACGCGCCCGTCTCACACGGCTCGGGGCACACGTCGTCGGTGCAGCGGCAGTCGCGCGTCTGCTGGAGATCGCCGCAGTCGGCGCCGCCGTTCTTGGGGTTTACGTCGATCGAGCGCGAGCGCGTCGACTCGCCCGTCGCCGGGTTGCAGACCCAGTCCGACCACGCGCCGACCTTGCAGTCGACGGTGCACGGCTCCGACTTGGTCAAGACCGTGTCGTGGGCGACCGAGTCGCACGGCTTGCCGCAGTTGACTTCCTTCCGGAGCACTTCGCGCGTGAACGTTTGGGTCCCCGTCGTCGCGTCGCACGTGCCCGACGGCGTCCATTCGCCAAGCTCGCAGTCGAGGTCGCACGCCTGCGTGTCGACGGTCGCACACTGGTTCTGGCGCAACGCCACCGTGAGACGCACAAAGTTGGCGTCGACCGGCACATTGCGCGTGCGAGAGTACGTGCCCGTGGCGGAGTCACAAGTCGAGTACGGTCCCCACGCGACGCTGCCGCACGCCGGGTTGCAGTCCTGCGTCTGGAGCGGCGGGCACGATTCGCCTTGGTTGCGCGGGTACTGCAAGACGGTGAACGACCGCGACTGCGTCGCCGACGTCCCGCTGCACTCGGTCCACTCCTCCCAGTTGCCGTCGCAGTCGATGTCGCAATCGCGCGTTTCGGTGGATGGGCCCCAGAGCGTCGGGCAATCCTTGCCGCCGTTGAGCGCCGGCGTCGTCTCGGTGCGCGACCGCACTTGCGTGCCCGTCGTGGCATCGCACGTCGACCACTCGGTAAAGTCCGAGTAGAGGCAATCTTGGGGACACAAGGTGCCTTGGCACTCCTGCTTGTCCTGCTGGATCTCGCAGCCGTTCGTCACGGCGTTCTTCTGGCCAATGCCGTTGAGGTACCGCACCTGCTCGCCGGTGCCGCACTCGGCCGAGCAGTTGCTCCACGGCGACCAGTGCTTCTCGTCACCGTAGAGCTTGGAGCAGATCGGCGGCATGTAGCCTTCGAGCTTGGCGATCAACACCGGGTCCGAGATGCCTCGGAGTTGGCTTGGGTCGTACGCCGCCGCCGACGCATAGTGCGCCAGGGCGATCGTGGCGAGGGAGAGCGAGAGGCGCATGGTGGCTGCAAGATGCTTTGAGAGGCGCCAATTGCAAAGTGAGTACTGGAGGACGCACCAAGGTCCTGGGCGATGGCTAGATATGCGAGATGGCACGTTTGTATTTGGCTTGGGGCTAGGGCAGCGAGTGGTCGCGTCGAAGGTTTAGCGAGGTGTTGGGGGCGCCAACCGTGACCAGTGATACTCGCATCAAGAGAGCGGTATCTTGGAGGGTTTTGCAAAACAGATCCCGGTTACGTCTTTTGCGATGACCCGCGCAAGCTGGTCCCATGACTGCTGGTGCACCCCACACGCTTCTCGCTTGCTGAGCAAATTTTACAAAGTCCACCATCTTTCGGCCTCGTTTCGTCAGTGTATAGGAATAACTCAATGTAGCAGCAACTGATCGCGTCCGAACTGTACGTAGAGATTGAGGCGGTGGTACGTTTCTGGAAGGCCGGTTGGGTGTACGATGTGCGTTGCGGCCGGTCGGGCTGGAGCAGATGCAGGAGCCACGTCCGGGCAACACGTGGAGCGATGGAGTGTATCTTAAAAACACAAAAAGGCATTAGATATGGTTCCGTCTGGACCTTACGGTGCGGGCTTGGTCTCGGCCTCGGGGTCCATGTCGCCACCCGTGAGGTTGAGCTTCTCCATGATTTCCTTGAGCCCGGCCTCGGACGTCTGGCTGCTCGCCATAAAGATTTCGCCCATGATGAGAAGGCCCTCGGCGCGCTTGACGCGGTCCTTGGCCGACACGCCAGAGTCCTTGAGGAGCTTGAAGCAAATGTTGCGCAGCGTCGACTCGACGTCGACGACCGTGTAGTTCCAAGCAATCTCGAGCACGCTCCCAAAGGTTTCTTGCTGCAGCTTGCGCGACATATCTTCCATGCGCTTGGCCTTCTCGGCCGCCTCCTTCTCCAACTCCTCGTCCGACGTCGCTAGCTCGGTCGGCGCCTTTGTCGGCGTCTCGAGCTTCTTCTTGGCTTCGGCCTTCTCGGCCTTCTCCATCTCTTGACCGGCCTTGCGGGCGACCGAGTAGGCATTGACGGCCGACGTCACGACGCGGTACTTGGTCGCGAGCACGTGCGCCGACTTGGCCACGTTCTTGAGCCCGAGGCCGGCCGCGAGGCTCTTCTTGAAGCCGAGGTGCTTGAGCGCCTGCTCTTCGTAGACGTAGCCGACGACGCCGATGAGCGTGCCGCCAAACGCCGTGGACGCGAGCTCTGACGCGGTCGCAGTGATCGACGTGCGAAAGCTAATGTGGCCTTCCGATGCGTCTTGGAGATACTGGTCGAGGAGCGTTGCGAGGTAGACAGCGCACTGCACCTCGCGCTTCTTCTGCTTGAGCTTGATGACGTCCGTTTGGCCAAAGAGGTGCTCGGGCTCCATCTCGGCCGCGTCGTTCTCGTTCATCTTGCCAAACTGCGACTGGAGCGTCATGAGGTTGAGCTCGCCGACAAAGTTCTCAAACGCTTGGCTGCCGAAAATCATCTCGTAGATCTGGCTGTTGTCCATAAAGAGCTGCGTGTCGACGCCGTCCTTGCCGTGCTCGTCGTAGTTGGCGCGCGACGTCGGGTCCGACAGCACTTGGTACGCGGCGCCGAGCTTTTGAAACTTCTCCGACGCCGTCGGGTCGTTGAGGTTCTTGTCCGGGTGCAACTGCATCGCGAGCTTCCGGTACGCCTTCTTGATTTCAACGTCCGTCGCGTTCGTGGCCACGCCGAGCTGGTCGTAGAGCTCGGTTTCCTTGACCGCCTTGGCCGGCGCTGCGGCCTCGGGCTCGTCGGTCAGCACGGTCGCGGCTTCGTCCGCGAGGCTGTACAAGTACCATTCGTTCGTCTCCGAGTTCCACACCTTGTCTTCGTTTGAGCTCTTGATGGCCATCGGCGTGTTAGCAATGCCACGCGCAATCTGCGTCACGCCCGTCACGGCGCCGCCACCGACCATCTAGATGTGTCAATGACCATCCGCTTCGTAATATGGGCTGCACGTACCACGACAGCCGAGACCGTGCCCATGGCGAGGCCCTTGGCGAAGCCCATGACGCCTTGTTCCTTGGCGCCCACGATCGGCATGCCCACAAAGGCGCCGACGCCGCCAATGAGGCCCTTGCCCATGTTCTTGAGCCCGGACGAGAGGCCCGCGGCCGCGTCCCGCGGGTTGCGCGTCGAGAAGATATCGCCGACCGAGATGCTGTCCTTGCCATTGGCGTCGTCGAACTCGGGCTGGCCGGACGTGAGCTTGAGCGGCGCGCCCGGCGGCCCGGCCTCGTGCGAAGAGTTGTTGGAGCTCATGGGAGAAGACTTCGAAGTGGGCAAAAGCAGCAGCTTTCCCGCACTTGATGTTTGTATGCCTTGCTGTCCGAAACCACCCGCTAAAGTCCTACCGGAAACCTCCCCCCGGAGTTGGCATCTCCCGCCACGCCTGTGCAGCCTCCGTAATGGACGGGGGGGTACATGGGTACATAATTATTTACCCCTGACGGGGTGGTTGCTGCTGCGTACATTGACGGCGACAGCGACAACATCCTTCTAGGCTTCTCGGACGACACTGCGTGTCATTAGACGCAGCGCGTGTCGAGGTTGTGGCTCGCACCGTAGAGATAGAGTGTGTCAAGAAGGTGTCAACCGCGATATCAACGTTGCTGGTGCTCAAGGTGTAGTAGAGATGCTCAGGAGGTCTGCTGGATGGCATTTGCCTCCTTCGCAGCGCCCCTGCAAGCAGCGAGAAGAAGCCTACAGCTGCTTGGTCAAGGGATCCAAGTGCAACTGCAATGTTGACGCGTCCTCAATTTAATTCACAAGCTGCGCACATAGCTTGATTTTTGTAAGCGGAATTGATTATTGCTTTTAAATACAACCGACGTTTGACTAGCATCATCGCGCCCGGGAAAGCATTCCGGTAGGATATGTCCGAATTGAACGCTGACAGGAACGGACTTGATGCCACGAGTCATGACGGACGTCTAGCATGCGAGGTACATGGTCATGACGCCAGCGATCGTCGACAGCACCGTGTCATCGAACGCTCTGCCCATGAGCTTGATGCATGCAAGGCCAAAGCGTGGGGAGCAAGATACCGAATATCGAAGCAGATCCCGCATTTTGAAGCGCCGAATGCACCTCTGAAAGATACGCTTTTTCCACCACAGGCCGACAAGCGATGGACGAGACGCACTGGGTGCGCACGTCCTTCGCTGCTCTCCGCGATGAGACCGTGCTTCTGGACCTCTGCAGTACGCTGCAAGACGGGTCCTCTGACGAGGCGCCGATAACGGCGACGGCGACGAGCGCGCACGGCGTCACCATGTCCTGGGACGAGCTGCACCAAGACGCCGACATGGCGCGGCGCCTCTTGTTTGCGAGCAAGTCGCCGCTCACGGACGCACAAGCCAAGGCGAAGCAGACATCGCGGGCCAAGACCGGCCGCAGCGCGTCGCTCGTCCTGCGCGAGTCGGCGCTCCTCGGCGACTGCCCGGAAGCCGAGGCCAGTTTGAAGCGCCAGCGCAAAAAGAATGCGCTCTTTGTCCGCATGCTGAGCGCGTACGACAAGTGCGTAGCGTCGAAAGAGGTCGAGACTACACCTTCTGAGACGCCGCTTCCGCATGTGCCGGTGCTGGCCCCGACGGACGCGACCGACGTGGCGGCACTGGCTGGAAAGCTCTTCTCGCTCGCGAGCTGCCGCATGCAGCTCACCATCATGAAGGCGCTCGGCGAGCACGTGCAGAAGGAGTGCCTCCGCGACATGGTCGGGTCGATTCTCGATTTTCCGAATCTGGCGTTGTCGCACGTGCGCCGCCACTCGCCCGAAGACGCGACGTTGGCCACGCTCTACAGCTTTGCGCGCGCTGCGCTGGACGCGAGAGCACTCGACGCGATCGAATGCGACGCTATGGACGAGCACGTGCTACTGCTGCTTGCACTGGGCGTGGCGAGCGGCCAACTGCACTTTCTACTGCCAGCACTTTCGACACTGCTGTCGGCGCCGGCGACTGCTACGCCATCGCCTCTCTGTGCGCCGCTCTACGACCGTTTGCTGCATCGCCTCTGCCTGTACGAGCCGACAAGTGCGCTCGGCGTATACGAAGGCACGACGCGTTTGCAGCACGTTCGGCTTCAGCCCGACCAAGTGCCGGTGGTCGTGAGCGGCGCGAGCATCGCGGTGGACGACGCCTCGGTGTACCTCTGGGGCCCCAAGACGGGATTGTACAAGGTAAGCACCGGTACTTGGTCCGTCCTGGCGCATACCGCAGCGCGCGACCTTCTCGACCATTTCATGTCGCCTCCGCACATTGTCAAGGCGATGGCAGGCACGTTTCGCGTCGTGACGCATCTCTTGCAACCGTCCTCGGCGCGGACCGTCGGGGCAGTCTGCGGCGCCGACGACGGACGGCTGCTCTTGTTTTACACTGAGGGCGACACGCTCATCGAGCAGGAGCTCGGTGTCGACGACGACTTGTGGCTACCGCCTACTGGGTCGCTTCTCCGCGCGATCTTTGGTCGCTTTGACGACGTGACCGAGACGGTCGCGGACGCAGCAACACTGGCAGACGCCTATGTCTTGACGCACGCCGACCATTTGCTCTTGTTTTCGGTGGCCATGCCGCTCCAAGACCAGCTGCGGAGTCACCTCTATAGCCGGGGCGATGTCGTGTTGCCGGCAATAACGAAAGCGCTGACGCTCAGCCTTGCGTGCCTTGAGAATCGATTGATCGTCGCCGGGTCCTGTACGAGCTTGGGACTGTTGTTACTGTCGCGCACCGATCTCAGTGTCCAGCAGACGATCGTCCTGCCAGAGGCCACGACGCACGGCGACCAGCGACTGCAAATCACAACCGAAGGCGACTACCTCTACGACGTTTGCGTCCATGGCGGTCATGGGCTTCGCGTCATTACGTACGACTTGCGTGACGGGCCCGTGCACCGGTGTTACGTCGATCTTCGCCTCGACATGCTCCCCAGCGGGGCGATACCAACCAACTGGACTACGGCGGCCGTCTACACGAACGGACGTCAGTTGAGCCTCGTCCACTTGATCGACGGTGTCGTGACGTACGCCTTCTTCTCGCTCCGGGACGGTCTTCTCGAGTCGGTGCAGACCAGCCTTTCAAAAAGTGGTTTTGTGCCCCGGGTTGCGTTCGAGGCGACGGCCAACGCGCTCTTTGGCTACCACCCGCTGCGCCACTGCATCGAGGCGCTTCAGAACACCGGTCCAAGCATCCCATTGCGATCTGCGACGGCGCCGGCGCCCCGGGATATCCTTGCGGCGGCGGCACTGCCGCCGGCAATGACATGGGCACTGCATCTCCTCGGGACGCTCGAGGCCGCGGCGTGGCCGCTCGTGCACGCCGACACAGCGCTCGACAAGTCGGTGGCGGTCGTCCCGTTTGCGGTGGATCTTCGTCTCGACACGATGCAGACGCTTGTTGGGCTCGTTGATCGCTACGGGCGCCGGTTCTGCGCCGGTGACGACCTCGCAGCATGGGAAGTATGCGTGCTGCGGGCGTCCATGACGGTCTTGACCGCCAACGTCGCGCACTGTCGCCATGTCGACGACGCCATTATCGTCGCGTGGGTCAAAGCGAGTCCGCTATCGTCGCTCCTCACTGTGCTTACGCGGTTTCCCGACGGCGAAAACGCGATCGTGCAAGCGGCGCTTCGGCTCTACATGGCCTCGCTCGACATCTTCTACGTCCGACCGACCGACCAGCTCGAAATGGCGCTGCAGTTTCTATCGCGGGCGACCAAGGGCGTATTGCATGTGTCGGAGCGCCCGATTCTGGCGCTTCTGCTACAGCGACTCGCGGCCATTGACAAGGTCCAAGACATTGCGCAGCAGAGCGACGCCGTGGCGCACTTGGCGTCGCTGCTAACGTCGGCGCAGGCGTTGTTTGACGCGCCGACGAGCGACGCGCTCGCAACCGACCTCGTCGCGCTCGTCTACGCCTTGACGCAGGCACTGCTCTGGGCTGCCCACGCCGCCCGCATCGCGTGGTCGACGGCCTCGGCTGCGATTTTGGCCGTCCTCGAGAGCTGTGTGGCGACAACGGCGTGCGCCGAGAGTAAGCGGCACCGGCTCGAGAGCAGCGTCGTCGGCGTCGTGCTGCCGCTGCTGAGCACCGCGATGCATCACTTTCTCACGTCGCTCCAGCACGATACGAGCATCTACACGTCCATGGCGCCGCCGTTGAATGCACTCTTTGCCAACGTGGGGCACTTGGCGACGGCGATGGCGGCGGCGGAAGGCTCCAGCGTGTCCCAAACCACGGCCAAGGTCGTCAAGGTCATCGAGTCACCGCACGAGTATCAGAACAACATGCATACGCTCACCGACGTGCGCGTTCCGGGGGCGAATAGGCTCACAATTACGTTTGACGAGGCGTGTCGCACAGAACCGGGCTACGACTATGTGACATTCTACACAGATGAGACGCAGACGACGTACTATGGCGATGAAAAGTACTCTGGGCGCGGCGACGATGTCAACTGGCCCGGCGTCGGTGGTCGTCCGCCGCTTGTCATTGAGGCCGGCGCGTGCGTTGTGCTCTTTCACACAGACGGCTCCGGCGTCGATTGGGGCTTCAAGTGCACGATCGTCGCCGACGTGCACACACCAACGACGTGTCTCTCGCTGCACTGGCTCCGGCACCTTGAAGAAGGCATTGCCTCGGTCCTTGCCCATATCGCGTCGGCACTGATCCGAACGACGCTGTTTGCGCCGCTCTCGTCGACCGAGGTGACGCACATGCCGCTGTTGAGCTCGCACCTTCTGCAAGGTGGCCAAGAAGCGTCAACCGTCGACGCGCCGGTCGTGGCCTTTCTGCATGCGCTCATCGACCCCGCGACGAGTCCGGTCGCAGAGGCCGCTACGATCGCGCTCAAGACGCACACGCGCGAAGACCAAGGCGCGATTGCACACATCAACCGCGCTGTCCGCGCGGTCGCCGCGGCCCTTCTGCACCACAACCTCTACGGCATGGAGGTCTACCAGTGGGCGACGACGCAGGCGAGTGCGACCGCGCCGTCGCCGCACATCTTGAAAGTGTGGAGGACGGCTCAAAAGATGCGGCAGTGGTTCGACTTGGGCGATGCGGCCGAGTCGAGCATTCATGCGTCGTTGCGGCCGAACGCGGGTCTTCCGGGCTTGAAGCGCCAGCCGTCGGCATTCAAAGGCGCGTCGGAAGAAGCGATCGTCGCACTCTGCGACGCGGTCGTGCACCGGTCGACGTTTCTACTGTCGTTGACACCGGCTTCGTTTGCGTTTGTGCGCGCGGCCAAAGTGCGCTGGGGCCTTCTCGCAAAGTACACGACCGCGCTCTCACGCCAGCACTCGTGGGGCCACCTCGTGCGCGAAGTCGAAGCCGCGACCGAGCTCAAGACACTCCTCGAGTACCGCCGCAGCTCGTACGAACGTGCGACGCAACTTCTGCCAAAGTCGGTGACCGAGCTCGTGCTCGAGTTTGTCCAAAGCGACGTCGTCGTCGACGACGTCACGACTATCTTGCGCGTGCGGAAGGACCGCGCTCGTTTGCGCGACCTTGGCGTGCACATTGTCGGGTCGGCACTCGCGGCGACGACAAGTGCGCGCAGCCAGCTCCTCTTTCTCCACGGCTTTGCGACGAGTCTCCGCGGCATTGGCACCGAAGATCCGTGCGCAACCAACGTTCATTTCTTCAACAGTCTCAACGGCTGCGACGAGCGCCAGCGCGAGCGCTTGAGCCAGAGCATGCTCTCGTGCTTGAAAGCATGTGCGCGGATTCTCGAGGGCACGCTGCAGCATCCCATCTCGCCAGTCGACGCGGCCTTGCTCACGACGCTCCTGAAAGCGATGGCGCTCGACTACGACGCGCGCGACGCCTACTTGCTCTACGAGAGCAAGGTGCTGCCGCACATTCTACGCCTCCTGCCGTCCGAGCACGTGAATCTGCGGCGCGCAGCGCAGTCGATGTTGCGCGTGCTCCTCTCGCACTTTGTGGCAGTCGACGACGAGCCCGAGACGCCATCGCGCGAAGACGTGTCGCAGTTCCAGAAGCAGCTCCTCGCAGCCGTGCGCCTCCAGCTCGAAGGCGTCGCCAGCGCCGTTGTCACAGCGTCTCGCTCGTCGGTCCAGGCCCTCGGCCGCCATCTCGCAGGGGCCACGGCGCCGTCTGTACCGCTGCTGGTCAACCACTCGATCGCGTTCTGGATCTATGTACCGTCGCCCAATATCCAATATGCGCTCAAGGTCGGCGACGAGGTGCGCCGCGGGCCGCAGTGGGACAGCAATGACGACGAAGACGGCGGCGACACGGGCACGGGCTCCGTTGTGGGCATTCCAGGGCCCGCCATGGTGCAGGTCTCCTACCTCCCTGTCAATAGCGCACATTGTTTCAACCCCTACCCCTAGGTGAGCTGGCACGCGACCAAACAGATTTGCATCTACGTATGGGACCCGGTGACGCCGTCGTGTCAAGTGCAGCTCGTGGACGAAGGCATTGGCGGCATGGTGTTTTTGCACGGCAACCGGAATCTCGTTGTCGACACGGACGACATGGCGCCGTGGAGCCACCACGGGCTCTTCCTCACCGACGACGCGCAGCTCAAGTACGTCCTTTGCTCGGGCACGGACAAGGACGTGCTTGTCGAGAGCACTGACGCGCTTCACAAAGACGCTTGGAATCACGTGTGCATCGTCAAGGAGCATGCGTTCTTGAAGCTCTATCTCAACGGCGTCCTGGACACGCACCACACGCTCGAGAAGGAGCTGCTGCTGCCGTCGACGTCGAACGAAGCGCCCACGATACTCGAAACGTCGCACCCGTGCGCCGGGACCCCGGACGCACTGTCCGCCACGTGGCCGATCCATTACCCCGGCGCGTCATCGCTCGTGCTTACGTTTGATTCGCTCTCGCAACTCGACCGCGCCAATGGCGATGCCCTGCATGTGACCAAGGGCAGTGCGGTTCTTGCGACCTACACGGCCCACTTCCCCGGCGCGTATGGTCAACCGTACGTCTTCCTCGCGTACAAGAACGACAGGAGGATGAACATGGCGTTGTGTAGACCGCTGATTGTCGACGGCGACAGCGTCACGCTGCGCCTTGACTCGACGAGTATGAGCGCGAAATGGGTATACAATTGATCGAGGTTTTGAAAGCTCATGCTCGAGGCTAGGGGTTCCGGGCGGTGGTCGCGCCTCTGTACGGCGACGCCCGGGATGCCACTGGCCACGTGAACGGCCACCCGTTCTACTTTGGCGAGCCGCCGCCGCGCGTCTTGGATGCGCCGTCCAGTCAGTGCTGGCTCGCAGCGTTCGATGTGATCAATGTGCCGCTGCAAGACCACGAGGTCCAGCTGCTCATGCGGTTGAACCCGCAGGAAGCGCCGCCCAGCGTGTTCCCGATGGACCGCGCGCTCCACACGCTCGGCTTGGTCAAAACGTGCGCGCAAACGAGCTTTGGGCGGTCATTTGTCACCAAGCCCGTCCTTGTGCGGCACCTGCTTGAGGTCGTGCTCTTGGGCCCGACCGAAACGCGCTGCGCGGCGCTCCACGTGCTCCGGGACCTCACGCCGACACTGGACCCAGCGGTCGTCGACGACGAGTTTGCTGTTGCGTTTCCGGACCGCCCCGCGTTTTTGCTCACGCTGCTCGAGACTGTCGGGACGATCCTCTCCGTGTGGCAAGCGCCGTCGCCGCTCGTGCACTGTGCGCAGACGCTGACGCTGCGCATGTCGGCGCAGTGCGCCATGGGCCTCGTCGACGCCCACCTGCAGTTTCTACGCGCCCTTGGCCGGAGCCGCGTCTGGAGCGCAGCGCTTTTTCCCCATTTGGAAGCGAGCTTTGCGTGGCTCGGGTCCACAGCGATGACCGCCGACGACACACTGGCGTTCCAGCGGGCGCTCGCGGCCGTCGCGGTGCTCGGAGGCAGCTACGATGGCGTCGTACTCGGGAGCCGCGTCCGGTGCTGCGTCAACATTGACGGCAAGGAGTCGGTCGAAGCCGGCTCGATCGTGCAGTTCCATCTCCGCGGCGAAGCGCGCATGGCGTCCGTGCTCTTTGACTGCGACAGTAGCCGTCCGGTCGACGTTCCTATTGGTGACATTGCCTGTGACGACGGCGACGATGCGACCGACTTGTTTCAGTTTGCGAGTACGTCGGTGCCGGTCGTCGTCGAGGGCCTCAGTCGCTTCTTGGCGCAATCGGTATCGCGAGCAAATCTGCCGACCATGTACCTCCCCCGCCGCTCGCGTGTCGAAAAGACAGAGGTCGTCGAGTCGGAGCACCCGTACCCGCACAGCGCCGACATGACGTTCGCTGTCGACTTTGCCACCGCCGATGCGGTGACGATCGTGTTTGACCCCAAGTCGAGCACCGAGTTGGACTGCGACTATGTGCAGTTCCGAGCGCGCGACGGGTCCCGCGTGTATGGGCACGACAAGTACAGTGGCGCGCACTTCCCCGGCGTCGGGATGTTGCCGCCGCTCGTGATTCCCGCATCGTCTTTTGATGTCCTCTTTCATTCGGACAGCAACAACAACGACTGGGGCTTCCGCTTCACGGCCACCGCCATGATTGAGCGCGAAGAGCTACCCCCCGAGGTGCCCCCAACACCGGCCTTTGGGGCGTGGTGCGACCTCCGCGCCCGGTGTCTAAAAGTGCTGCAGCGGTACACGCCGTCGTCGTTCTTGCCGTCGTTGCCGCCCCAGTTGCTCGCTGACGTGGCATCGATCGCTATCTCGCCCTTTGACGGACGCCCGACGGCGGCGATGCCCAAGTCCCAAGTGTTCGAGTCCAAGCACCCGTACGCCAACTCGATCTCCGAGTACATGGCCGTCACGTTCAAGGGCGCGAGCGAGCTCACGATCACGTTTGACGGACAGTCGCGCACCGAAGATGGCTGCGATTACGTCGTCTTCTTCAAGGACAAGACGCTCACCGAGCGCTGGGGGTGCCACCAGTACACTGGTCGGGCTGGCACGGAGAATTGGCCTGGCTGCGGTGGCCGTCCACCGCTCGTGATTCCGGCCGAGGGCTTTACGCTGCTGTGGTGTACCGACTCGAGCAATGTCGATTGGGGCTGGAAGTTTGTCGTGAAAGCCACGTTCCCGAGCGTGACGCCGCTGGCGTTGACGACAGATGCGCTCAACCAGCGGTCGTACCACGTAACCGAGATGCTCTACGAGCGCATGCGGCCGTCGCTTGTGCCGGATGCTAGTGCCTTTGACGGGTTTGCCCGCGCGACGGCGCCACTGCCGTCGCTTCAACGCTATCTGAGCTACGTGCCGTCGACAGAGTCGACGCCGACGACGACGTTGATGCCAGACGCACGCTACCGCGTCCAGCCGTTTGAAAACGTGGCCATCCACACCGATTGCAACGATGAATCCGACATTGTCGACGTCTTGACACCGACGACGACGGTGCAGGTAACAGATGTGCGTGGCGACTGGTGCCTCGTCGAGACGACGTCGGGCGACAAGGGGTGGTGCCAATGGCGTCGTGGCGACCGGTGGATGCTACGGCCTCTGGCGCGCCCGTGGGCGCACATTGACGAAGACACGGTGGTCGTCGGCGTCGACGACAAGGCGGTCATCGCATCCGATGTTGACGAGTCGAACGAAGAGCAAGACGAGTTGGCCAACTTTACGTCGCACTTCACGATCGAGGAGATCAAGGGCCAGAGCCACCGACTGCAGTCGCTCGCGGTCGAGACGGCCAACGCCCAAGCCATCCAGGTCGCTCGGGCGACATTGCTCTCGCTTTTCCAGCGTTCGGACTTCCATCTCGAGGCGTTGGGGGTCTCGAGCGGTACCTTTCTGGAGCTTCTCGTCGTCTTTCTCACTGCGTCAACCACGTCGATCGACGCCAAAGCTGCGCTGCGCAAGCGCCTCGCCGAGTTTGTCGCGCTGCCGACGACGGGTCTCCCGCTGCTGTCCAAGGTGGTAGACTACTACGTGCACACGCAGGCGCAGCTGCGAGACGCGCTGCCGAGGGGCCGAGCGATCGTGCGCTCGGTCGAGAGTCCGCACCCGTATCTGGACAATGCGGATACGTACTGGAAGGTCGAGATTCCTGGCGCGACGCAGATCCAGATTGTGTTTGACGCGCGCAGCAAGACCGAAGGCGGCTGCGACTATGTGAGCTTTTGCAATGCGTCGGACCGAAGCATTATCTATGGTGAGGCGCAGTACTCGGGGCGGGCAGGGACCGAGAACTGGCCTGGAGTCGGGAACCGACCCCCGCTTCTCATTGACGCCGACCGCTTTGAAGTGTATTTTCATTCGGACGCAAGTGGGAACGACTGGGGCTTTGCGTTGACAGCCTACGGTCTCTTGGGACCCGAGATGCCGTCGCCAACGTCGCTTGGGGACGCACCGCGCGCGGACGTTGCGCGCTGGCTCATGGACGCGCTCTGTGCCGTGCCGCACAAGTCGACGCAAGTGCTCGACGTCCTCTACGCCCCGCATGTGCTTGACGCGTGGGCGACAGCGCTCACGTCCATGCCGCAGACCGCCAAAGTGTCGGCGCTCCGCATGCTTTCGTATGTGGCCTTGGACGCGAATTCCTGGCAGCATATCGCGAAGCAGCGAACCGCGCTCTCGGAGCTCTTGGAGCTCGTCAAGAAGCGCATGTTGGCGCAGCATCGCGCCGAAGAACGCTCGGACGTCAAGTCGGTGTACCTGCAGAGCTTGGTGGAGACGGCGCTCGCTCTCGACCATGCAGTCGAAACCCGTGGGTTTCCCGCCCCCGCGTCCCTCTTGCCGGCGCCCATCGAGCTCGTGTGTACCGACGTCAACGCGCTCGTCGAGTTGTCGCCCCACAGCATGTGGCACCGCGGCTGTACCCATCACCTCACCGTGCAACTGCAGTCGTGTTCGTCGGGCGTGACCATCGGTGTAAAAACACGAGCAAAGACGCCATGGAGCGTCCTCTGGTCGTCGTCCAAGACGCCGCCGCAGAGTGTGCAAGCCCTTTCTGTGACGTTGCACGACGGCGACGTGCTCACGCTCGACGCCGACTTGAGCCGAGGCCGACTGGCTTTGCGCAAAAACCGAGCACTCGTCGCGTCCGCGCCCGTGCCGCCGGAGATCACCGACCTCGTACCCGTCGTTGCGCTGGCGTCGATCAACGACCGCATTGTCGTATCGTCCGAGTGGACGCCGCCGACGCGGATCGATCCAACGTGGTACGCCAAGCTCATGGAGAGCACAGCGATGCTCCTGGCCGAGACGAGCCACAGTCCCACGACCGTGACGCTCGAGAGCTTGCATCCACTCCCCGACGACATGGCGACCAAGACCGTCCGTTTGCCCGGCGCCATCAAACTGGAGGTGCGCTTTGACCGGCACACGCAGATGGGCTCCCAAGATACGCTCACGCTCGCCACACCGTCGCAAACCGTCGCGCTCGTCGGCCTCGACGGACAGCTCGACCCGGACGCGCCAGCGTTTGGCCCGATACCACCGACACCGCAGCTCGCCTTGGCACCAGGCGACGTGGTCGTGCGTGGCGACGACTGGATCTACGGCGACGAGGATGGTGGGGCGGGGGCCGCGGGCGACGTCGTCGAGCTGTGTAGCTGGAAGCAGCGGGCGGGCACGGGCGTCAAGGTCCATTGGCGCGGCACCAACACCACCGCACTCTACCGGTATGGCTACAACGGCCATTACGACGTGTTCCTTGCGAATGTGCGCGTGCCACCGGTGCTTTGGCTCGACGGCGACAGCGTCACGATCACAGCGACGCCGTACCAGGCGTCGGTGCAGAAAGACATTGAGTTCAAGGGCAGCTTGGACTTTCGGCAAGAGACGGTCGTGTCGCTGCCGATAACACCGACGCTGCGATTGCGGGATGACTTTAGCCTGCAGTTTTGGCTCCGCTTGAGCGACGATCTGCAAAGTAAGGAGTCGACGCCGCAAACGATTTTGTTTGCGGGTGGCGCCGACGCCAATGCGTGCGTTCACATGAGCGTGACGGCCGACTGGAAAATTCGACTTCTCTTCAAGAGTGGCGGCTTCCTCGACAGCATGCTCTCGGAAGCACTGTCGCCCAATGCGTGGGCGCTCCTCTCGGTCGTCGGCAGCGGCTCGGATGTGACACTCTACAAGAACGGCGAAAAGTGGACCTCCCATACCTTTTACGGTCGCACCGCGTACGCGACGCCCTTTGGCACGCTCTTCTTGGGGTCGTCCGTTGCTGCAGGTCGCCTCGGCTTCAAGCAGTACACTGGTCTGCACGGTCAGCTCCACGATGTCAAGGTGTGGGATGCGCCGTTGACATCGAGCGACGTCCGGCGCGAGTTTCTCGACAAGGGCCGTGTCTTGCCGAGTCGTTTGCCGCCGTCCTTGTGTCCGTGGACGACCATCAACAGAACGGGTCGGGACCTATGTACGCTCAAAGCATCGGTCGCGGTCCAGCGCGGCAAGGTCTATTACGAGGTCGCGCTCCTCTCGGGCGGGTCGGTGCTGGTGGGGTGGGCCTCGCCGCAGTGCACGCCGCGACACAAAAGCTCGGTGCTCGGCGATAATGGCGACGCCTACGCGATCGACCTCCACAAGCAGTACATGTGGCACGACGGTCCATTGCCGTTCCAGACGCCGCTCGAGACGGTCGTAAAAGCGGGCGACGTCGTCGGCTGTCTTCTCGACTGCGACGCGGGCACGATGGCGTTCACACTCAACGGCCACCGCGTCGGTGACACGTTTGGCGCCCCAACGGCATTGCCACAAGCACCCACCAACCGTGTGGCCGCGCTCCGGGTCGCGCCGATCCTGCGCGACCCGAGCACACCGCGCAGTATGAGTGCGCGCGAGGCCAAGATTGCCGAGCTACTGGCCATGGGCTGTTCGCGTCACAAGGCCATCGAAGCGCTCCAGCGCAACGACCAGGACGTCGCGGCCGCGCTCGAGTGGCTGCTGCACAACCCGGATATGTTGGTGCCGTTGGGGCCGCACGTTCGCCTCATCGAAGAAGCGCTTCCGAGTGCCAACCGATGGCAAGACCGAGGCGGCTTGAGTCCTGCCGTGTCGCTGAGTCCCCTCGGTGCGCAAGGGGTGGCTTGGAACCTTGGGCAACGGTCGTTCCAGTACCTCCCAGATGGGTACGTCGGTGTGCTCTCGGACGAGCACGCACCGACACCGTTTGTCGTCTACGACTGGGCCGAAGACGGATGGGAGCCAATTCAAGTGCGCCACAAGCTGCTCGACCTCTCGCCTCGGTTGTTGCACCGGTGGCGACTGGACGAAGGCCACGGCACGGTGCTTTGCGACGCACAGACGTCGACGACCGGTGTCGTGGCGTCGACGACGGCGGCGGCGTTGCGCCAGTGGAAGTCGTGGCTCTTCTCGCCCTTATACCAGCAAACGCTCGGCGCGTGGGGGTATAAGGTCACCATCTATGGCCACTATCACGCCGAGAGCGCGCCGCGAACACGCTTTATCTGTCCTGGCGACCTCGAGTACCCGCGCCCGCACAAGCAAAACGTGCAGCTGGTCGAGTTTGCCAACGCCAAGTTTACGCAACGGCAGCTCGACGTGGCCCACGGGCTCCGCGTGTCGTGGTCGGAGATTGCGCCGCACGACGACGAGCTCGTTCGGTGGCCGCTCTTGTGCGACGTCGCATACGGTCGAGTGGCCGCGCCGGGCGACGACACGCTGTTTGCCAACCACGACCGACTCGCAGCGCGCTTCAGCTACCTCCAGCAGTTCAACGTTGGCTTGCACCGCCTGTTGCCGTGGGTGCAGCTCGAAGCCGACGCACCCAAGGGCAGTCTCACGGACATGCTCGGGCGTTGCCGAGGGCTTCTCTTCCATCGGCTCAAGAAAACGCTGTGGGACGCGGCACTCAAGCGCACGCAGCGGCCGGGGGCGGCCGTCGACTTGACGCTCAACCGACCGAAAGCGATGCGGCAACGGGCAACCGGCGTGCCCGACGAAGACGCGCGGTCGGCGCTCTTTGCTCAAGCCTTTCGTCAGCTCAACGCGACGGAGAACTATCATTTTCGGCGCCACGACAACGTCTACTACGTCAAGTTTCTCGGTGAAAACGCCGAGGACGCCGGTGGCCCGTACCGAGAGACCTTTTGCCAGTATGGCGCCGAGCTCCAAAGTGCGCAGCTGCCGTTGCTGCTGCGCACACCGAACGCCGCGCACAACGTGGGCACTGGACGGGAGAAATGGGTGCTCCACCCGGCAGCGTTTGGAACTCAGCACCGGTTGCGGCGACGTCTTCTCGAGTTTCTCGGCAAGCTCCTCGGCGCCGCGGTCCGATCGCGCGACTACTTTGCGCTCGACTTGGCGCCGCTCGTGTGGAAGTGGCTCGTCCATGAGCCTGTTGGAGTCGACGACCTTGAAGCCATCGACCGCATGCTCGTCCAGTCGCTCGCCAAGATTCGGACCATCGACGAGCTCGGCGTCACGCCCGAGATGTTTGAGGACATTGTGCTCGAGACGTTTACAACGCTCTCGATCGACAACCGCGTCGTCGAGATCACGCCCAACGGCCGCCAGCAAGCTGTCAC